CAGTGCATACCGTTTACCAAATAAATTCATAAATTCAAGAACGGGAAAGTTAGACCAGGGTGGTTAACTTCCAAGGTAAAACAACACATAAGGGAAAAGGACAAGGCCTTCAAAAAAGTCAGAGGGGTAAGCATCTGCATTCAAAAACTACAAGGATTGTAACAAAAAATTTAAAAGAGCAATCAGGGATGCAAAAATAGAAAACGAAGAGCAGATAGCAAACAGAACCCCAAGAAATGTTTTAAATATATAAATAGCAAAAGGTTACAGACAGAACATGTAGGCCCAATAGTAGACAAAGGGGGGGAGATTAGCTACCTGTGACAGGGAGAAAGCAATTAAATTAATTATTTTCTTCTCTTTTCACAGATGAGACGGAAATGAGTAACGACCAGGGCATCAGCTGCAGGAACAATATTAAAAGTTTTAACGTGTATCAGTGGGTGTTGGAGAGCAGAGTGGTACAGAGGCTAGAAAGAATAAATGTAAACAAATCCCCAGTACCTGATGGGGTACATCCGAGGGTACTCAAGGAACTTAGCCAGGTCATAGGCAGACCACTGTACATAATCTTTATGGACACTCTAATGACTGTTACTGTTCTGGCTGATTGGCGGAGAGCATATGTGGTACCAATATACAAAAAGGCGAAACAGATTCACCTGCTAACTTTAGGCCAGTCAGCTTAACGTCAATACTGTGCAAAATATTTAAAGGCATTATACAGGACTATATGCAGGGATTTGCAAATAAAACTGGTGTCATAAGTAGAAACCAACACGGTTTCATGAAGGACCGTTTGTGTTAGACCAATCTATTAACTTTTTATGAGGAGGTTAGTACTAATTTAGACAATTTAGAGCAATACCAGTAGACGTGGGGTATCTGGACTTTGCTAAAGCGTTCGATACAGTACCCCACACACGTCTGATTCACAAGCTGAGGTCTATAGGTTTGGAGGAAACTGTTTGCAAATGCGTGGAAAACTGGCCGCAAGAACGGACCCAGAGGGTAATAATAAATGGGTAATTCTCTAATTGGGCAAAAGGCGGGAGTGGGGTGCCCCAGGGGTCGTTCCTGAGACCAATCCTGTTTATCCTGTTCATAAACGTTATAGAACTTGGAGTTTGATTTCCATTTTTGCAGACGATACAAAACTGTGTAGGGCAGTACATTCTAAACAGGGGATATGTGCACTTTAACAAGACCTGGATGAAATTCAAGCATGGGCTACACATTGGCATATGCGATTTAATGTTGAAAAATTTAAAGTTATGCACATGGGTGCAAAGAATAAGTGCACAAACTACTATCTTGGGGGGGGCTGCATTAGGGAAGACAGACATGGAAAGGGACCGGGGGGTGCTCATAGATCACAGATTTGGCAATAGCATGCCAAGCGGCAGCCAGCAAAGCAAACAGGATACTGACCTGTAGTAAAGAGGGATTGTAGCAAGGGATAAAAGAATAATACTACCACTATATAAGTCACTGGTTCGGCCTCATGTCGAGTATAAGAGGGGACCTTACTGCAGTCTTCAAAATCATCAATGTGGACAACAATATACGGAACAAGTTGTTTTCACCAAAAATAGTACTGCGAACATGTGGACACAAGAGGTTAGAGCAGAGGGTTCAATCTTAGATTGCGCAAGGGGTGTTTTACTGTACGAGTAGTAAAAATGTGGAATTCCCTTCCACAGACAGTGGTACCCGCTGATAGTGTAGAAAAGTTCAAGAAACTTCTAGATTCATTTTTCAGTCACTAAATATACAAGGATATGGGAAGTGTTAAATACACATAAATACAGACACACATACACACACACAGGTTGAACTGGATGGACTTTGGTCTTTATTCAACCTCACCTACTATGTTACTATGTAAATGTATTTTCCTTTTAATTGCAAGAAATACAAATACCTGAATTGGACTGGGCACAGCAGAGCTCAGACCTGGGGAGGAAAAAGCAGCACTATATGCCAGTCAATTGTGCTGCATTGCAAGGGGCATGCCTAGAAGAGAGAAGAGAGCAGAGTGACTGAAATATGAGTTCATTGGTCTCCTACTTCTCTTTCCCTGTAAAGTTATAGGTTGGGTGAGAGACAGGTTCTGTAATCATTACCTTTTTATAGTATAGAAAAAGGTTCCTGCTCTGCCAGAGAGAGCTGTGTTGTGTGCTAAGACCTTTAAAATCTCAGAACTGGATGGACAGGAATATAAATCCTTTAGAAGGTAAAACCACTACCTTATATGTATACACCTGTGCTTAGCTGTTGGTTTGGAGATCAGCTTTAAGGAAATATCTTTTTATTTCTTCAAGTATGTAGCCAATACCTCAGTTATGTGGGAGAGCCTGGTACCTGTCAGTTATGTGGGAGAGCCTGGTACCTGTCAGCATGTGGATGTTGCCATTGAGGGAGATCTTTTTGGGATGCCCCCATTGAAGAGCATTGCCCTTATGAAGGAACGGAGAGGGCAGGGGGGGATCCCTGCTGGGTGCGATGAATGACAGTCACTGCTCTCTGCAGGCAGAAGATTGGGAACTGAGTGATCCGCGGTATGGGATCGCTCAGTCCTTGATCTATCGAGCCGACATGTGACAGCTTCAGTGTCACATGTCAGCTCTAATTATTGAAATTAGTGTATTGCACTCTCCCCATAATTCTCCTTTAACACCTTGGGTGCCACCAATCAATAATAAATACATATTTATCAGCATATAACTTATCAATTATACACAAAGTTACTGCATGTAACAAGTTATAATAAAGGTGTATAAATAAAACCATACATTGACTCTTTGTACATTCAGTACACACTTAGGAGTGTATTTATAAAATGTTTGTGCAGCTGTTCTGCAAAAATCTGACAATGAGAATTGCAGCACTTTAAAGCCACTCAGCTGCATCTAGTGGCCATAATGTGCTGCCCCCATCAGCGGCGTATTTAACTTTGCTGCTGCCCTAGGCAAGGCAGCAACGCCGCCCTCAGCGAATCTGCCGCTCCAGGCAAACGCCTTGTTTGCCTCGCGGCAGATACGCCCCTGGCCCCCATGCTATTCTTATCTCAATAAAGCACATGGAGACAAGAAGGAAAAGTAAAAACAGGTTGTTTTTTTTGTAAATTAGTAAATATTAAACTAAAATCTAAAGACTTCAATTGTATTGTAACTGTAATGTCTTCCTTATATTGTAAAGTGCTGCTTAAACTGTTGGAACTTTATAAATCCTGAATAATAATGATAATAATCATAGTCTATGGGTAATAAAAGAGGTGGTTATTCTTAATATTAACCAGTAGATGGCAGCAGAATAGCAGCCACCACATAATAGCACAAAGTCAATAAAAAGAGGAAACTATGGGGTCTATTCACAAAGCTGCCGAGGGCAGCCGAGTGAATGACCGATCAGAAGTGAAGGCTATTCACTGTTCGGCTATTCACTTCAGGCTGGTAAATAAAGGGTATGAAAATGTAGATATACTGTAGAGTCTATATCCTTAAATAGTATCTGAATAAATCACCATTTAAAAATGATCTAAATAACCAGATTATAATACTAATTTCCAGATCCTCATTAAAACCTAGATTAAAGATTAAAATCTAATGCGCCTCTCATTGACATAATTTAGAGAACAGATCTTGTTGAGATAGATTGGTAGGATTAGTCTCGATACCAGAGAGGGTGAGACCTGCTGAATTCTTATGGTGGTAAGTTAGGAAATAGTTAGGTGCACCGTGGTCATGTTCAATTAGCCATCTATGCTCAGTAAATATAGAGTGCATGGGCCTTTTACATATGAAACTGACCACATGGGCATTTGAGACTATAAATAAGAAAACTTGTAGAACAGTTTATACATTTCTGGATTTTTTTGACAATTTCCTTTCTGCTCCAGAACGCTCCTCTGACGGTGAATGATAAATTGACATGTTAGACATATTTTTTTTTGCACTGGTAGGTGCCTTGAACAAAATGTAATGATTTGTATGAGCTTTTATCTGATAATTTGTTTGGAGCAATACTGTTTTAAATATTTTTTTGCTCCATAATTTTTTTTTTCTGGGAAAACTTCCTTTAGTTTTTGGGTCCTCAATAGTATAGGCCAATGTTAGTTGGTAATTCTATATATGGCTCAATGTTGGGTATGCATTTAGTTTTAAGATGGCAGAAACCTTATCTCTTCTAGATTCTTTTTCTCTGGTAGACTATTGGGGCGAATAGTGAGATCTATTGCGCAGGTTTCATTGACATATTCTTCTTCATACCCTTTCCCTAGAAGTTATGTTGTCAATAACTCATAATAATGATTGCTTGCACAATTTCACCTTAGTCTATGAAATTGACTAAATAGAATTATTCTCTTCCAGCATGGATGGTGACAGCTGTGTTCGTGTAAGTAGGAATTGTCTGAGATTACTTCTTTTTTAAATAGGTCTTAGAAATGTGTTACCTGATTTGGCAGAAGATAATTCTAAGTCTAAAAAGATCAATGAAAGACCATTTTTAGGGGGTAACTAAGTGTCATTGGTTACTAGGATGCAAATGGCTGGGCCACACAACATCATTGGCTGTTATGGTGCAGGCAGCCATCTGCACCATAACAGCCAATGATCCTGTGCAATCCCAGGCTCAACATATACTGAGGATGGAGTGTCTGGTATGGGCACTTCATCCACAGTACCACCCCCTACTGTCAGGCCCGGATTCCCCACAAGGCCACCGAGGCACGGCCTTGGGGCGGCAGGGCGCAGAGGGGCGGCAGCGGTGTCCTTGTGGGGAAGTTGCCCTCTCTACATTCAGTCCTGCTTTGTACAAGCAGGACTGAATGTAGAGTGAGAGCAGACAATTTTTCGTTTACATGTGAAATCGGTGATGTTGCCGATTTCACATATAAACAGTGTACAGCCTTCTCCCCCCTGCACTTACCTCTCTCCTTTGGTTCCGTCCTCCGCCGCCGAGTCCCGAGTCTCTGATACAGGGGCTTTTTTCTCCTGTGTGATAGCAATAAAGTTAGGTGAAAAAAAATTAAACTGATAAAAAGTTTAAATAAATTTAAAAAAATAATAATATGAAATAATTAAATAAAAAGGTAATTAAAAAGTAAAAAAAAGAAACAAATTATTAAAAAATAAAAAAATAATTATAAAAAATAAACAATAATAAGATAAA